GTTTGTTCTTCTCAACAAGAAGAATGTTGCAATGATCTGGGAACTCAGCTGTTGGAAAAAAAACAGAGAAGGATAAAGACCTGTGCATTGGCTGGTCGGGACACAAGTGAACTTACCAGTGAAACGTCAAATACAATCCATATACTTGAAGAGCTGAGAAATATTAATGCTGTCTTTAAGTCACCATTAGACCACTGAGTCTCTGTCTGTTGTGATCAATCTTATTCATAGACAAATGAATTCACAAAAGGAGCAGAAAAAGCTATAAAGATCATCAGTGAACCGAAATTTCAGTTTCAGAGGAGACTGGCAGAGTGTGACTTGTCTAGCATAGGAAAGGCAGGAAATCGCAGTGTTCTATGAATTTAGTTAGAGGCTGGGAAAGGTGTCCCTGCTCATGGTGGGCAGGCTGGAACTACATGGTCTTTAAGTTTCCTTCCAAGCCAGGCCACTCTGTGATTCTATGAAAGGAGATAACCACCTAGATGGAAGGACTGTTTACCCTAAGAGACAGAGTTAGTGCAGGCAGTTACAAACAAACAGTCGATCAAAGCTTTTTGGCTTTTAAGCCCAGTCTCTTTTGAAATAGGTTAATTGCCTGTTGATGAGAGACAGTTGCCAGTCACCCCAGTACATTTGTGAAAGAAATCTATTTATGCTCCCCAAAGCCGTCAGGCTAGAATTTAAGTGGATGAATTGTTTTGCAATTTGATCCATTGCTGAAGCAGTTTTAGCCATGGATGGAAAGGTGTATGCAGCCCTGAAAAAACTCAGAGCACAGAGGACATTCCAGATCTTTAACTACCAAGTTCACAAATATTCAGAACAATCATCTTGTTTCTTAACTCAGTATGCATTTCCTCTGCTGACTGAACCCTGCTTAAGTGTACCAAGAGCTTTACTCACACAAGCATGCTTGAACCATCTTAGGGAGCAGCTTCATGTGAGGGCCTACTTTGGATTTGACACCAAATGCCTGGTCCCTAGAAAAAGGTCTGTGACTTGATTGAAGCCACAACAGCTCCCACAATAGCAAACGATTTTGCAAAAAAGTTTCCCTAGAGGTCAGCATACCAAAGAGGATGAAACAAGAAACTGAATTCACACTGCTTCTACTGCAAGAAATATGTCATCCTCCAACTGCTCTCATAGCTGGTGCTCTTGGGGCAGTTGTTAACTCTAAAAGTAAACTAAGATCATCCATGCCGTTGCCCACTCAAACTTTGGGGTAAAAGCTAACATTTTTCTCAACTTAGTGCTTGGGAAGATGATACCATAACCCGAGACCTAAAGTAGAGAATTCTGCCTCAGAAATTATGGGGGTTAACTTTTCAGAAGTGTCAAACATTCAGAGCCTGTATGATGTACAACAGACTGCCTCACTGCTTTACCTCTGTTTTTTCATTAAGTGCATGAAACAACATAATTTTTCACATGAGCAGGAGCCATTAAAAAACAAACAACAAAACAATACCCCTTCCCTTCCCTTTCCTTCCCTTCCCTTCCCTTCATTTTCTCTTCCTCCTTCTTTTCTGTGTCTCATCTTTCCCTACCAATACACACTGGGGAGATCTCTGAAGACAATTCTTCCCAGCCCTGCACTAGCAGAAGGCACTGAATACCTGTAACCACCTCCCAGCCTAGGCACTGGCTCTGTCACCTTGTGGGAAAGAGGTGTGTGTCTTCTGAGAGGGGTCAGGGCTGTGAATCTTTTCAAGATAAAGGGACCATCTGCACAAATTTGCAAAAGGCAAGTGTTTTTTTTAAACTCATCAGTGTTCAACTGAAATAGGTTTTTACAGGATGGCAAACTACCACATCCACATCACTGACACTAGTGAGGCTCAAAGGTCAAGCCTTCAGTCTGGTGTAGGATGTGCTTCTCATCTAAATGGTTGCAAACCACTTGGAGGTGAGCAACACCTATTCAATTCTCCATGAATATTCTTTTTTTTTCCTCCTTGTACTCATTTTTAGAAATGTCTGGTCTGTCTTCTATGGAAGAACATGCTAAAACACAAGAGCCTGAGAGCAGCAGCATTCCCTCAGAGGGAAGGTCCATCTGGCCCAGTACTGTGTCTCCAAAGTGTCCAACCACCAGTGTCTGAAGAAGAGCACATGAGCACTGAGCACTAGTCCTGACAGGGTCCTGGTGTGCTCACAGGCCTCAGTGCTGGGACTGGCCTGCCCTGGGACCCCCAGCCCCACCACCTCCGGCCAAGGGCCCAGGGGACGTGTCCCACCTCTGCCTGGGACCTTCAGTCCCTGTCTGAGCCCTGCTGTGGGTGTGCCCATCTCTGCCTCTGTCTCCTGGGTGGGCCTGGGACCTGCACTGCAGAGCTGCTCTCTGGGGTGGAGCCCTCAGACCTGGTCAGACCTTGCCATGCAGAGCTCTGGGTTTAATATGGCATAACTGCTCTATTCTATTCTATTGGCTGCATTCACCATGAGTCAAATAATGGTGAGACTGTTATTTGTGTGAAGTTGCAAGGAGGTTCTGATTCAAAAACACATTCAAGAACACATGACACACAGGTTACAACTGGAAATAGGATATTATTTAATTTTTGTTTGTCTGAATCAGTTTCAGAGCTGATGCTCACAACCATTACCACAATGTGCACATGTAGTCAGACTGTGTTCTTCAGTTTAGCTTGAAAAATCCTCTCTAGTATGGCAAAGGCAAGTGACAGAGTTACAGAATGTAGCAGCAGGCATACAGGCCTAGCAGGTCCTGTTTCCTGAAGGTTCAGAACATGAAGAATGAGAATCAGAAGCAACAACACGAGGTGTGTACTATCTTGGGCATATTCCAAAGTGTAACGCATATCAATGACAAACACACTTTTTGCCTTCCAAGATTTGCTTCATTGCTGTGCTCCCAGGACAAAAATGCATGAAAAGAACTCTTGTGTTTGTCCTGTGCTTGCAGGCAGGAGAACTGAGAAGTGGCATCTCTGGATGGATGCAAGAATCCCACAGGAAATGGAGCCAAGGGAAGAGCAGAGCTCAGCCCCACTCCAAGCTTGCAATGGGCAAGAGAGCCAGAGAGAGCCAGGGCACAAGTGGTGCCTTGGAGGTGTGAAGGGAGCAGGCAAGAATGGAGTTGTAGGGGCCCAGAGGAGCCCTGACAGGGGGCTGTACCCAGTGCTACAGGAGGACAAGAAGCAACTCCCAGGCCACCCTTGGGGCCCACCCTGGGAGTCTGGAAAGCTTCTTGCCCACAGCTGCAGGGCATGACAGGCCATCTTCATGGGGCATGCGGTGAACAGTGATCATGCTCAGTGCTGCAGAGGAAGTCAAAACTCCCTGGGAACCAGTGCCAATCTGCTCTGGGGGAAGATTCCTTCTTGACCCAGGTGCTACTGATTTGCCATTCTGAAAATGAACTCTGGAATTAATGGACCCCGTGGAAACACAAATCTCCTTAGAGAACCACATCCCATCCTGCCTGTTAGCCAGAGACAGCTGGACAGGACAACACAGGGTCAGCCAGGGCAAGTGCCAGTGGCACAACAGATAGAGTCTCCAAGGATGCTCAGGTAAGTCTTAACCAAAGAGATAGATCATTTGTTGGTCTTTTTACTCTTTCCCTCTCATAATAAACCAAAACTCTTTGAGGGATCTTTAGAAGATCCTGCCCTTAAAAATGACAACAGGCTGGGCACAGGGAGGGGCCAGGTGAGAACTTGGTGCTGCCCTCACCACTGAAGGAGGTCAGTGCAGAGAAAGAGACAAGAAAAAGCTCAGACCAACACACACATCTGCCTTCCTCCAACAGAGAACCCTGGATACTGGGCTCATTCATCAAAGCAGCAGGAACTTGGCTTTTAGAAGTTTTACTTCACACCAAATATGAACTAAACTCCTGCTCAGCTGGCACTGATTGAGGTTATGTATTTTTAGGGTTCAAGGTGGTAGGGATGATCCTGTGATGTGCCTAGGACTTTTTCACTAGAAGATATTCCTGAGAAGATGAGGCAGGAAAACTCCTCTAAAAATCCTCTTCTCTACCAGGCTGGTTTCAAGCTGTAACTCACTTGATAACTTCCCAGTAGTTTTAGTAAAACATCCTAAGGAGAAGGAAAATGCCCAGCTGCAAACCTGGCTGGAGTGATTTACAGTTCCCTGAAAGCTGCAAGCAAAGTAGCTTGGGAAGCAAAGCAAGAACAGGCAGACCTGCCCTTGCTTGGGTACCCCAATCTGTGGCAAGCCCTACCACAAGAGAGAGAGATTAAAACTCAGTGAAGTATAGATTTTCTCCACATTTTTGACTGGTTTGCCCAAAATTGTGCTTGATGCTTATTTTTCAGTTGTCTATCCATTTTCAACTTTATTTTTGAACGGGATGAGAGCAACTGAGGGTTTTAATGGTCACTGAGCTAATGACCACACTATTGTGCCCATCAACCCCAATCCAATGGGGCTGTAGAGAAGAAAAAGAATCTAAATTACAAAACAACCTGGCAAGAAGTTTGCGCAGACACTGGCATGAAATGTCAGGATGTCCTTACCTCTCCGAGTGGTGCAGGCAAGCAGCATTGAGAATAGAGAATATGGGCTGTCATCTTACCAGATTTAAATAGGCCAGCCCATGTGCCTGATGTACACAGCACCCTCGGGTCACAAAAACATAAAACTAGCAGGTAATGTGCTTCTAAAGGAGAAGCATTTGGACTAATGACTCAAAATGATAGTAAAAGTCAGAGGCACGAACAAATAATGGCACAGCATGGTCCACACACCCCATTTTTTCTCCTGATGCCATGTACTTGCAGGGGAGAAAGGTCTTCTATGGCAGATTTGGAATGCAGTCAAGGTTGCCAGTACAGAACAGCGGACTGTGGCATCAGCAGTCCACAGACTCCATGGATAGCAACCTGAGTGAGCAATGCGCTGTGATGTCACATCCCTCACTGCTTATGTTTGGGCATGAGCGGAGCCTGGCTCAGACTCACTCGTGCCTGGACTCCTGGCAAGCATGCCTGGGAGGACTGGAAGCCCGTGAGGTCACTGGGTGCTGCTTTCAGCAACTCTCAGTTCTCATTCACAAGACTTGGTCTGTTTCCTCAGCCCTACCTGGTTCAGGAAGCTGAGTACTGTGCGTGGTGCTTGCAGGAGCAGAGGTGAGTGGTGCAGGAAACAGGCCACAGGGTGGCCCTGGGGTGGGTGATGGTGGTGTTTGGGGAGCTGTGAGTGTGTTCTTCTTGAGGGGCCTGGGCATTTCTTCTACCTGCCCATCTCCCTGGGACACCAAGTGACTATTTTTCAGAGTGTCACGCCAACAAGAGAGAGCAGCTGCTGCCCCAGCTCTGCTGCAACATGCAAACATGGCCACGGAGACAGAGTGGAACTGCCCCATCTGCCGTGACATTCCAGGTGAAATCGCTTCTGTAACACCCTGTGTCCACCTGTTCTGCTTGGGCTGCATTGTGCGGTGGGTCAAAAGGAAACCATCGTGCCCCCTGTGCAGGCAGGCTATCAACAGCATCATTTACTCTGTTCGGTCAGAAGAAGACTTTCTGGAGATAGTTCTTCCAAGTCCCTCAGACTCATCAGCTGCTCACCACCAGGATGAGCAGGGGGCTGCAGAGTTGATGCCCAGGGCTTATGTAGCTGGCTTCCCACCTCAGGTCTGGGCAGATTTTTTCCAGGACTGCTCAGAAGTCCTCGAGCCCTTGCTGCCCTGGCTGAACCAGGAGCTATTGGAGCTGCTCAGGACCCGCTGGTGGGAAGTGGCTCTGGCACAGAGTGCCATCGTAGCCAATTTGTGCCGCTATGGGCTGAGTGAGGAGGCCTTGGTCCGGGAGCTGCAGCCCCTGCTGCAGGAGCAGACGGTGGCATTTGTGCGCCGGCTCATCGATGTTGCAGCTGACAGGTGCAGTGATGAGATCGTGCGGCAGATGAATCTCCTGAACTCCCATGCTGAGGAGGAGGAGGAGGAAGAGGAAGAGGGTCCCACAGCTATCCCTGGCCCCTCTGCATCCCCCCAGGGGATTTGCCCTCCCACCCTGGTCTCCTCCTCCAGCCCTGTAGTCTCCAGTGTGGAAGTGGACATTGGAACGTTGGAAGCCACCCTCCGCGGCGTGCCCGGGCGCTCTCCATCCACGCCCATCCCTGCAGAGCGGGAGCAGCCCCCGGAGGAGCCCAGCAGCCGGGCAGCAGCAGTAGCAGGCCCCTCTGCCCAGGGCTACAGCCGCAGCACTTCCGCTCCGGGCCGGGACAGGGACTGCTTGCCCGAGGGGCTCCGGCGCCCAGCCAAGAGGGGGGCCTCTGGCCCTCAGGACTCTCCCCAGCCCCCGAAGAGGCCGTCCCGCCGCCGGCGGCACAAGCCAAGAACCCGTGATAGTAGAAAAAGGAAATAAATAGTTGTTTGTTTGACACAGTCTCTGTGGCTTGCTTTGTCCCCCTTCTCCTGGTGTCTTTTCCCTCTCCCCTCACGTCCCATGTGCATGGCAACTGCCTACTTTTGGGCACAGCCATGGGCTTCTGGAGCCGCAAGGCCGTATCCGCGCCATCTTCTCCTGCAACAAATCCCGCTGCAGCTGCGGGCGGAGCGGGCAGCAGGGACAGCAGGCTTATCAGAAGAACCATGGCCTCAGCCTGCACCCAGTTCTCCTCCCTGTCCACCGTCACTTTCTACTCTGCTTTGTGGGCGTCAGCCAGGCACCCTCGCTCCTCGGAAGGCTGTCAGGGAGGCACAGAAAATGAGCAGGGACACAAGAGCTAGAAACAAAACTTGGAGTAATAGGATTTGAGGGGGAGGGGAAGGGAAGGTTAGGGAAGGTTAGGGAAGGGAAGGTTAAGGGAAGGTTAAGGGAAGGGAAGGGAAGGGAAGGGAAGGGAAGGGAAGGAAGGGAAGGGAAGGGAAGGGGATAGGTGGCTGAATGGGGCTGCTGGCAGTGCAAAGATCTAGAGCATGAGGAGGTGCCCAAGGCTCTCAAGCCTTTATCTGCTGGAGAGCACTGGCAAGACCAAGAGGATCCCTTCAGAAAGACCACTGCAGAGCTTTCTGTTCTCATGCACTGCAGAGATGGGGCAGCAGCTGTAAGATATAGGGTGCAGAGATGTCGCAAGGGATTCCATTGTTTCGGAGCACCCACTGGTGTCCTGCCAGATACAGAAAGGAATGTTGTCTCCAAGAGCCATTAGGCTGGGGGCATGTGGCTACTCTCACAAGCCCCTGAGATGTTGAGTCAGAATATGTCTTGGAAATCTCCTGAGTGGTTTTCCACCCTATGTGACAAGGAGATGAAAGGACTCACTCAAGTGCTCAGGGAATAGCTGGTTGCCAGCACTGAGGTCAGGAAGGAATTTTCTCCTGGGACAGGTTGATGATGGTACCTGAGGTTATTTTACCTTCCTGTGCTGCACTGAACATGACCACTGCTTAGGGCTTCTTCAGTCTCTTTTGTCTGGGTTGCTGCCTGCTGCTCATATCCCATGAAGATGGCCTGTCATGCCCTGCAGCTTGGGATAGAATGGGGGTTTTTTTGCCTTTTTTTCCCATGGTGGATTATCAAGTGTCCTCAGGTGTCTTTTCACCACCTTCTGCAGCACTAAGCAATGGCCTGTTGTCAGGGCTTCTTTGGCCATTTTGGCCAGGTACTGCTGTTCATGCTCCACAAAGTGGCCTTTGTGGCCCACATCTTGGGGAAAGAAGCTTTCCAGACTTCCTAGGTGGGCCCCAAAAGTGGCCGTACCAGTTTACCCTGCCCATCTTTCCCAACTCTCAACACTGTTCTAAATCAGTCCAGCTCAATAGCAAGGGATGGCCAGGGATGGTGCTGTGCAGGGCTTAGAAAGAACTCTGTGGCAGCTCCCCAGGGCCCCCCCAGCAAGTTCTGCCACTTGGCACTGGGGCAGTCTTCTGTGCATATACTTGGGTCTCTAAGGGCATTGTTCCCCATGGGGATGACACACCAGAGGGAGCCCATCACCCATGCCATCACTAGCTGTCTCTTCTGGGCCATAAACAAATCCTTGTAGACTGTGTTTCCCAGAGAAAGGGGAACCAAGTCATGGCTACTCCTGCCTTTGTGGGTTTATCTGTGCTGTTTGTCTTTACCTTTATAGGTCCCTGGCTGAACCTCTGTGGCTCCTGGGCTCCCACATCTGATATCCAATGAAAAAAAAAAAGGTCTTTTCTCCATGTTTTATTTTCTCAGTACTGGTCCTCTTTGGGAAACTTTTGGAAGGCCACCATGTCAAGAAATTGGAGACCAGTATACAAAGAGAAATTTCCCCTGATGACAATTCTTCCCAGCTCAGGACTAGCAGAAGGCACTAAATACCCATAACCATCTCCCAGTCTAGGCATTTACTCTGTCACTTTGTGGGAAGAAGGCATGTACCTTCAGAGGAGGGGTGAGAGCCATGGATCATCTCCAGATAATGCAAAAACTTGCAAAAAGTGTTTTAAAATTTTGCTGGATTTATCGAGTTTTGCTGGGTTTCCACAGGACAACAAACCCCCACACCTCCGACATTATCAAGGCTAAAAGATCAAGCCCTCAGTCTGATGCAGGATGTGCTTCTCAACTACACAGTATCTAGCTAGCACCTACGTCCTCAAGCCAGCTCTGACACTCACAGGATTTACAACCACCCATAGCAAAGTGCTATCTGTAGACACAGTATTTATAACCCTTCTTTTGACACTTCCCCCATCTATTTCAGTAGGCATTTTGATATTTATCAAATAAAACAGAAGGATTACTGTTTTAGACACATGCTTTAGAGATGACTAATATTTAACACATTAGTCTGGCAACATTTTAGCTAACAGGTCTGCTTTGTTGTACTGATAAAACCCCAACCCTATCTAATAAGTTTTCCTTCATAGAAGAAGCAAAAAGGAAAAAGAACTCTAACAGAAGCATACCAAGCATGCTGAGCTCAGCTGAAGGTAAACCTCAACTCATTACTTTCAGTACCTTGTCCAGAGTCTAAAATATAGCATTTAAACTGCTGATTATCATCATGCCTCCACTCTTAGCCAGGACATCCATGAACCACAAACTCAATCTCACCTGATCCTCTCCTTTGTGCCTAGGATACTGACAAACAGTAAGCTGTCACAGCATCAATAAATAACAAAAGGGTGGAAAATGCACAACCCATAAGAAGCACAGAGAGAAGGATAACACTACACTACCTCAAGGTCCCAGATCCTCCTTCAGACTTTCCATGGAAAAAGAGTGCAAGGGTGCTATCACAGCTGTGGTCATGGCTGCAGTGGGTCTGTGGACGAAGCTTCTTCCTACTTGCCTTCAACCTCTTTTTACTCTATGCTAACAGCACAAGCACAGGAAGCAATATTAACCAGGTCAGTGGCTCACACACTGTAACCATTTACTGCCTACTCCCTTTCTGAGAGGAATGAGAGTGAGGTCTGTGAAAAGGACAGCAGAGGGGTAGAGCAAATGTAGGTCCAACACTGCTGCAGCTGCTATCTCACCTGTAACTCAGATAACAAGAAAAGCCCTGAAAATCAGTATGGATGCTGCCAGGAAGAGGAAACAAAAAGAAAGCATGTATCCAGTTTGCAGTTTGGCACTGTCAGCCTCATGGGACTCACAGGCTGTTTTTCCACCTTGCTTTTGGCACCAGGAGAATGCCAGTGCTTTGTGCCTATCCCTGGTGTGCACAGTTTTAGTTCCTGATCCTCGTCTTACCTCCCAAAGCATTGCAAAGACCCACTGGGCTTTCATCTGAGTTCTGTACACTTCCTGATTTCTCCCTTTGCCCACCCTGTGCTGCCGCAGCTGCCCATGGATGATGGCCACTTGCTCTCAGGTCGTGCAGAAATTGGATTCCCCCCTTCTCTCCTTGCTCTTCTGCAAAAAATATGGCCAAATCACAAAGAAATTAACTAGAAAAAAATGTAATTGCTACCAAGTTAATTAAGTGAATTGATACATATTTTTAAATCAACATTCAGCACAGCATATATTAGTTTAAGATAAACTATGGGGTGGAGCCTGAGAAATGAGCTACCTCCCCTTTAGTTCTAACTGCTCATCTTTCACCAGTAAGGAGAGATGAATGGGAGAAGGTGTAAGTAAAAAAAATAACAGCTTACTAAAAGCAAAACCGCCACAACTTAGGTAACAGTAATAATCACAAGGTACAAAGGTACTGAATCCTGTGGACTCCCCAGGAACAAAGAAAACAGGAGAGTGGAGAAGCCCCACCCCAATATGGTGGCCTCCAAAGAAGATCACATGGCCCAGGGGACAAAGACAAGATGGCAGAGAAGCCCAACTTGGCTCAGCCTTCCCCCTGAAGTGTCACTTCCCTGGGACTGGCACTGCCTGGGGCAGCTGACACCTGCAGTGTCACCTCCTCTGCTTCTTTTTGGCTGGCCAGACCCAGTTGGTTTGGTCACTGCAGTTTCGAGTGCTGCTGCTTTGTGGAGAAAGAAAACCAGCTCACTGGGCACTGAAACCCACAGCCCCGGCCCCAATGGCTCCAGCTCAGCACTACAGCTGGCAGTGTATTGTGAAAATCCTTCTGAAATAGTTTTGGATTGAAAAAAATGCAGTTTCTTGGAAACCTATGCCAGGCAACATCCCTGACATCTGAGCAAGAAAAGAGAGAGAACTCTGTGTACCTGTTCCCAGTCACTTAAAGGAATTCCTCGAACCTCCCACTCCCCGACAGAACATACCCCTCCATGTTAAAACATTCTGGGTCCATTTCTGGCCCCCAGGTCTTAAAAGGACATTAACACAAATTGCATGGATTGATCGTAAGGAAAAATGGAACACAACATGGGCATTTTTTGGGTTGCCCAGGACAAGCTGAAACAAAGAAAATACCATAGAGCACACACAAACCAAATTATATCCAAAATGGATTGTACCAGTTAAACAGATGGTTAGATCTACTCAGGGTCTCTTGAAAATGGGAAGAGCCTTGGCATATGTCCAGTCCTAGGCAGATCTCAAGTGGCATGCATTTCAGCATTTTTTTAACAATGAAGCTTCAACCAAAATATCCCAGTCTGCTCCATGTCTTGAGATCAAAGATTAACATGTGTTTCAGTAATAGCAACACTGGCACATTTCCTACCACTCAGTTTTAGTAACAAGCTGAAGTTACCACAAAAATATGCAAGAAGTTTCTTTCATAATTCAGTTATTTAAAACATACCTATTTATTTAAAATAATTACAGTCAAAAATTGGTAGGAGTGAATTTGGAAAGAAATATGCACGACTGACTGTGCATCCACATGGATGTAAGAGCCAACATGTCTAACAACAAGAAAGTTTAGAAATTAAGGTGTGCTATTAGTTTTTCCTCTTCAATTCTCAGTTGTCATAGGCTCAGTCTCATCTTCTCATCTAGTTCTGACACAA